AGAGCAGCCAATCCTGCAGAGGGATGGGGTCGTGCCCATGCAGACTCCCTCAGGTGAGCTCAGGCTGAGCCCCTCATGCTCCGTGGCGGCTCCTGTGCTCACAGCGACAGCGTCTGGCTCACCTGGAGGACAAGCTGCGACTGCTGGCGCAGGCGCGGGACGAGGCGCAGGGCGCTTGCCTGCAGCAGAGGCAGGCGGTGGCCGAGGCCCAGACCCGGGCCAGCCAGCTGGGCCTGCAAGTCGAGAGCCTGCGGCGGCGCCTGGAAGAGCTGCAGCAGGTAGCCAGGGCTCCAGCGGGGGGCCCCAGGCGTGCTAGCCCGACCCCTCACCTTACTCCCCAACCTTCGTGCCTGGCAGGAGCTGAGCCTCAAGGACCAGGAAAGGGTGGCCGAGGTGAGCAGGGTGCGCGTGGAGCTGCAGGAGCAGAACGGCCGGCTGCAGGCAGAGCTGGCGGCTCAGGAGGCGCTGAGGGAGAAGGCGGCGGCCCTGGAGCGCCAGCTGAAAGGTGAGCCAGACCCTCGCCCTCCCGCCGCCCACTGGTGGGACGTGAGGCTAGCCAGAGAGCGGGGCTGGCCAGGTCTCCCGTGCTGAGGCCATGCCACGGTGCGCTGGGACTGCGCCCGCTCACTGCGCTCCTTGCCCTGCAGTGATGGCGAGCGACCACCGAGAGGCGCTGCTGGACAGGGAGAGCGAAAACGCATCTCTCCGGGAGAAGCTGCGGCTCCGGGAGGCGGAGATCGCCCGCATCCGGGACGAGGAGGCCCAGAGAGCGAGCTTCCTGCAGAACGCCGTCCTGGCTTACGTGCAGGGGTCCCCCGTGAGGACCCTGAGCCCCCCAAAGTGAGGCAGGCCGGGAGGACCCGGGCGCAGCAGGAGTACATCAGGCGGCGCCCGAGATGGACCGGGGGCCGCCTCCCGCCCGCGCCGCCCCTTGAGACCCGGGTCGTCTGTTCCACGCGGGGGTTGCGGTGACTGGAGGTGGTGCCGCGGCTGCCGGGCGATCCCGTGGGAGGCGCCTGGGAAGGGCTCCCTCGCTGCCCCTTCGTCCCGGTCGACACCACCTGGAAGCGCACCGGGAAGGGGTCCCGCGGGTGCGTCTCCCCCTCGCCTTTTGCGATGTCACCGTGAACGCTGCAGCCGCCTGCGCGCGGCGGGGTTTGGAAATACAGCGCGTTTGCACTTTGTGATACATCCTGGCCCCGCCTCTCCCTCCAAACGCGCGACCCTCCGTGCCTCTCTCCAAACGCGCAGCCCTCTGCCCCCAGCCCTGCAGGGAGGGCCTGCCGGGGTGCGGCCGTTCGCCCCTCCTCGCCGCTGCCTGGAGGGACCGGAGGGCCGCTGGGACTGTCCGTCTGGGGGTTCGGGCGGCTGCAGACCCCGGAGTTCCCAGCTGGCTCCCGGCGGCAGGGGGCGGGTCCCCGAGAACGCGCAGCGCGCACAGCTGTCCCCGCTGGGTCCAGGTCGCTGGGCTCTCTCCGGCCTGCGAGGCGCCCCGAGGGACCTGCAGGAGACCCCCGGGCAGGGGACGCGCTAGAGGCGGGGGCTCCGCGGCTCGCGCAGCTCTGCCCGGGTTCGGGCGGCCCCGCCCCCAAAGCCGCGCGGCCGGGCGCCCCCCATCCGCCCCCGCCCCCGCCCCCCGCCCCCCGCCGGCCGCGCTCGGCTGTCTCCGCGCCCGGCGCTCGGCGGCGCTCGGCTGTCTCCGGCCGCTCGCTCGGCGCTCGGGTCCGCGGCCGCTGCGGCGCCGGGCATTTCTCCGCAGCTCGGCTCGCGGCCGCGCCCGCCGCCGCCCGGCCCGCGCCCATGCAGGCCATCAAGTGCGTGGTGGTCGGCGATGGGTGAGTGCGCGGCCCGGAGGTCGCTCGGCTGGGCTGGGCCGGGGGGGCTCGGGGGCTCAGGGCGCAGCCGGGGCGGGGCGGGGGTGGTGCCCGGGTCCTCGCGAGGCGGCCCCGCAGTACCCCGCCCGAGCCGCGTGCGCCCCGAGGCCGAGGAGGGCGGGGTAGGGCGGGGTGGGGCGGGGCGGGTTCCGCGGGCCTCCAGCTTGGGCCCACCTGATGCTGCCCGGCTCCCGTCCGGGCTGGCTGCCGGCGAGGCGGGGCCGCCGCCCTGTCCTCCCAGTGGGTGGGGCCAGGCCTCTCACCTGGGCTGAACCCTTCGCCGGCCCCACCCTCCCCTGCCGCCACCCTCGGAGTCGGGGCCTCTGCCTGGGGCCCCAGTGTTGGGCGCCCTGCGCCCCCATTCACCACCCCAGCCCCTACAGCCCGGCCTGCCCTAGGTCGCCGCGGATCTGGTGGGCTGGGACCCCTGTCTCCACCCCAGACGCCCCTAACTCGCCTCTGGCTCCTGGGGAGGGGGTTGCCCTTGCTGGGCAGAGGGTCCGAGGCCGGGCCTGGGAGCCACGTGGCTTGCCCTGTCCGCAGCGCCGTGGGGAAGACATGCTTGCTGATCAGCTACACGACGAACGCCTTCCCCGGAGAGTACATCCCCACCGTGTGAGTGTGGGGGCTTCCCCGGAGAGCACAGGCCCTCCGTGTGAGTGTGGGGGCTTCCCGGGAGAGCACAGGCCCTCCGTGTGAGTGTGGCATGGGGGATTCATGGGCAGGATCTCCCCTGGGCTTCCATGTCGGCTCAGGTGGCCCTGTCTGGGCTTCCCGGCTGGGGCTGAGGTGCTGGCTAGAGTTCTAGTTCCGTGCAGAGTTGTGAAACCCAAGACACAGGCCAGCAGGGCCAGGGGTTTCTGGGACCCCTCCGAAGCCCTGACCCTGCCCTCACTACTCTGCAGTTTTGACAACTACTCGGCCAACGTGATGGTGGACGGGAAGCCGGTCAACCTGGGGCTGTGGGACACGGCGGGGCAGGAGGACTATGATCGGCTGCGGCCACTCTCCTACCCCCAAACTGTAGGTGACAACAGGGCCAGCCCCGGGAGCTGGGTGGGTCCCTGAGGTCGTGATGAGGGAGGGAGCAGGCCCTGGGGAGCCCTTGACCACTCCACCAGGCCCCACCTTCTTCCCAAGGACGTCTTTCTGATCTGCTTCTCCCTGGTGAGCCCGGCCTCCTTCGAGAACGTTCGTGCCAAGGTAGGGCAAGGCTGGGGGCCCCTGTGGGGAGAGGGCTTGCTCCAGAACCTGCCCCGACAAGTTGTCCTTCAGAGGTGATTGAGATACGGTTCTGCCTGGAGTAGGCACATGGGGTGGGGTCTGAAAATGACCGTGGGGGCTGATGGGGTGGCGTAGTGGTGGTGGGCACAGCTCTCAGAACGGAGGGGCTCTCTGTCTGCTGAGGATGGGCCTTGACTGGGAGGCCCTGGGAGGTCTCCAGGTTCCCTGGCTGCATGTTTTTTCTCAATATCTCCCCACCAAATCTGCCCCTGGTCACCCTTTGAAGGAGGAAGAGCCAAGTGTAGCTCTGGAGCAGTGGGGAAAGTCCTGGAGGGCCGTGACTTGCTCAGGTGGGGCTGGGGTAGCAGATTCCGGGCCTGGGGTCAGAGCGTCTGTCCCTGCAGTGGTACCCGGAGGTGCGGCACCACTGCCCCCACACGCCCATCCTCCTGGTGGGCACCAAGCTGGACCTCCGCGACGACAAGGACACCATTGAGCGGCTGCGGGACAAGAAGCTGGCACCCATCACCTACCCACAGGGCCTGGCCATGGCCCGGGAGATTGGTGGGTAGGCACAGGCGGCCTGCAGGGGAGGGGTGGGGAGGCTTCGCTGTACCCCACCCTCATTGTCTCCCCTCCTCACTGCCTAGGCTCTGTGAAGTACTTGGAGTGCTCAGCCCTGACCCAGCGGGGCCTGAAGACAGTGTTTGACGAGGCAATCCGCGCAGTGCTCTGCCCGCCGCCAGTGAAGAAGCCAGGGAAGAAGTGCACGGTCTTCTAGAGCCCTGGCACCCCTGAGCCTGAGGGCTGGCGGGGAGCAGCCCTAGACGTGTCCGCTGTTGTGTTGAGGCGTGTGGTGTCCCTGAGTCGGCTGTGGGGAGCGGTGAGGGTGGGCAGGGGGGAAGCATGGGGATGAGGCTGGGCGGCAGGATCCTGTCCTCTCTGCTGCCTCATTCTGGGGTGTGGCTCCAGCCTTCCCTGGCCCCCGCCGGAGGCCAGGAGGGAGCAGGGTCTCCCTCAGGGCTGCAGGGGCAGGTGCAGGGAAGCCCCAGGATGGGCTTCCCTGGAGGGGGAGGGTGGGGGGGAGTTCTGTCCATTGCGCCCCGAGGCGGGGCGGCCCCTTCTTATTTTATACAATAAACATTCTCCACCTACACCTCTTGCCTCTCACTACCTGCCCTTCTGCCCTGGGGCGGTTTGCTCCTAATTCCCCCAAGTGATGGTGCAGAGCAGGTTGTCACCCCAGCCGCACCTCACCTCGGAGCCGAGTTCCCAGAGGGCAGCACTAAGCTTCCTCCACCCCACCCCAGGGAAGAGGGGCCTGAGCTGCTGAGCCCCCAAAGCAGCTGACCCAGATCAAAGCAATAGCTAGTGCATTGAGCCCTTGGGATGTTTGCTTGGCTGTGTACAAGGCTCCCTCAGGCTGATGGGCGCCTCTGGGAGGGCACATGTCGGGGAGAGGCCGGCCTGGTTCTCAGGCAGCTCCTGTTGTGCTGACTGGGACAGTCTGAAAAGAGGCTGAAGCAGGTCAGGCCTCTCGGAGCCCCATGGGAGCCAAGGCAGCCTCCCCCTATCCCTCGGCTCCTCTGGCTGGCACTGGGAGTAAGGGCAATCCAGGCGGAGGGGCAGGGTGGAGGAGGGCATGGGGGTCGGGGTGTGGTGTGGAAAGCGAAGAGAGCAGCGACCCAGCACAGTCTGCTGACGCTGAAGCCAGAAACGGTGGGCCCCGAACCATGGTCCCGGGTGTGGAGTCACTCGGGATTGGAGGGTGCCCTGAGGGCCACCGTCTGCTTCCGCCTGGTGCTGTGTGGGGGCAGCTCCTACTGGCTCAGGAAAGCCGACTGCGGAATTCTCAAGAATTTTGCTAGCCAGTTGTTAATGATCAACAACAATTAAATTATAGAAGTTTACAATTTGTGTTATTAAAAGCAAAATCAACAAACATCACTTCCTAGTTATTTCTGCACGTAGGACTGTTTTCTCTGCCCCGGGTTATGTACATCTGCGGCACCTATGGACACAGACACCACATAACGGGGTGCTGAGGGCATCTCTTCCAGCTCCCCATTCAATGACATCTAACTGGTAGCTGGAAATCAGCTGTGGTGGGAGTATTTACACCATGGGAATTGGCAAATTCTTCACACTGGGACTTGATTTACAGTTACTTGTCTAGACTTAAGATGATTAAAATGTAGATTAGACTTCAGGGTGCTGTGTCTGCTCATTACATTGTGAACAGCACAAGTTGAGGAAATGCTCTTCTAGTATCCAAAAACCATCTGATTCAACAAAGTGGCTCAGGTCACTGACGAAGTGGAGAAGCTTGACATCCTCCTTGTTTCCCTTTTGTCTTACTCATTAGCTTAAAGGAAGAGGAGCCAACCGTATACTCACAGAGCGGGTGATCAACAAGCACACACTGTCTCACCCCAGAGGTTCTGGACAGGTCCAAAGGCCAACCTTGCTGAAATTCACCACCCTCTTTAGGAGTTGGCCTTTCACCACCTCCTACCTCCCTGACAGCAAACTGGCCAAGCCTGAAGACCTCAGGAGTGGGAGCCAGGCTCCGCCTTGGATTGGAATATGAATCTCATGGGTCTCTGCCCGCATTCCATACCAGGCCCCAAGCCCCCAGCTACCTGCTGGCAGCCTAGGAATAGCACATAGCCTGGGCAGCAGAATCAGGTTTATTGGAGGGATTGGGGGTAGGATGGGCACGGCATGGGGTTTGAGGTGTGTGGAGGGAGCTCAGTTGGCCCAGAAGCCCCCTTCCACCGGCAGAGTGGAGCCCGTGGTCATGCCGCTTCGGTCACTCAGCAGAAAGAGGATGGCATCCACCACATGCTCTACCTCTGTGGGCAGGGCGGGGGTCAGGGGCATAGATGAAGGAGGCTGTCGCCCATCTTTCCCTCCCACCCCTGCCCAGGGCACGCACAGGGGCTGCTGGCACCATGCTGGCTGATCTCCCACCTGACTCACCAGCAAACTTGCCAAGTGGGATTCGGTCCAGCATAGTCTTGGCCTTGCAGGGGTCACTCCAGGTGGCCTGGCCCATGTGCGTCATCACCACTGTGGGGTTTACTGCATTCACTCGGATCTACACCGGGACAGCTGGGGTCAGCAGGGCGAGTGGGGTGCCCTAGGTTGGGGGAGGTACCCCAGCCCTGCTCACCTTGTGGGGCCCGAGCTCTAGGGCCATCACCTTGGTCAGCATGTCCAGGGCACCCTTGGTGGAGCCTGTGAAGAGGAACCCAAGCTGGCTGTGGCTGGGGTTGGTGATGCGGGTGAGGCTGGGGTGGGGGTGGGGCTGAGGGCACAGCTGGGGTACTCACAGTAGACGCTATGGTTAGTTACTGCCCGCTGGGAGCACTGGCTGGAGATATTCACGATGGCCCCCGGGGCTCCCCGGGCTATTAAGCCCCTGGCCACGATCTGAAATTGCAGCGAGACCGTGAGGCAGAGCTGGCACCACTCATCAGAATTCCCGTCCAGCCCGCAGGGCAGCTCACCTGTGACACCTGGATGACCGCACGCAGGTTCACTTCAAAGGATCTAGAGGCCGAAGGACAGACCCTGGTCAGAGATTAGGGCTGCTGCCTCCTCCGGGACAGCCCCTCCCTGAGGTTTCTCCGCCCTCACAGGCTCACCTGTCAAAGGCATCCTTGGTGACCTCCAGGAAGGGCTGCAGCAGGGCGACAGCGGCGTTGTTCACCAGCAGGTCCACGGGGCCCACGCTGCCCAGCGCCCGCTCGGTGGCCTCCCAGTCACCCAGGTCCACGCACACGGGCTCTATCCCCGGGCACTGTGTGCATCAGGGGGCAGTTACCAGAGGCTCTGTGCCCAGCAAGCGGCACAGCTGGGGACTGGGGCTGGTGACCTTTCAGCCGGACAAGGAAAGGAGTTAGGAGCTCCGGAGGTGTCAGGACTGTGGGGCCAGCAGCCAGGCGCTGCCTCCGGCCGGTTCACTTCCTCCCTGCGCCCGAGCGACTCCTGCCCGGGGCCTGCTCCGCAGCCATTTCGGCCTCTTTCTGAGCCCGGGGGCCCTGGCAGCTCTGCCGGCCGCCCGACCGCCCACGCAGGCCACCAGCCCCGGAAGACGGTGCGAGGGCGCCCAGGCCGCGGTGAGAAGCGCAGCGCCCGCGAGGGGAGGCGAAGTCGCGCACCGGGATACCGCCCCCGCTGGCTGGCGCCCCCTCCTGGCTCGCCGCCCCGCCGCCTCGCAGCCCTGGGACCCGGCGGGGCCTACCTCGCGGACGAGGCTGTCAAGATCCGCCTGTGTTCGGCTCACAGCCACCACCCGCGCGCCCGCCGCGTGCAGCACCTGGACCGTGCCGCGCCCGATACCTGCCGGGAGCGCGGCTCAGTGAGGGCATCCCCTGCCCGCCTCTGCCCTCCGCCGGCCTTTACCGACCTTTCCCCGCCGCCCACCTTTGCCCGCCCCGGTGACCAGCACCCGGCGGCCCGCGAGACCCAACTCCATGTCGGCACAGTCTCCGCCCTGCGTACTGGGGCCGCGGGACTTGAAGGGCTGGCCACGGTGGGCGGGGCGGGGCGGGGCCAATGGCAGAGCGGCCTTCAGATAGGGGGCGGGGACATTCAAATAGCTGCTCCCCGCTGCGGTGATTGACCGAAAGGAGTGGGCGCACGGGAGAGGGGCGGGGTCTCCGCTGCCGCAGGGACGGGTCTTTTTTTTTTTTTTTTTTTTTTTGAGACAGAGTCTGGCTCTGTCGCCCGGGCTGGAGTGCGGTGGCGCGATCTTGGCTCACTGCAAGCTCCGCCTCCCGGGTTCACGCCATCCTCCTGCCTCAGCCTCCCGAGTAGCTGGGACTACAGGCGCCGCCACCACGCCCGGCTAGTTTTTTGTATTTTTTAGTAGAGTCGGGGTTTCACCGTGTCAGCCAGGATGGTCTCGAACTCCTGACCTCGTGATCCGCCCGTCTCGGCCTCCCAAAGTGCTGGGATTACAGGCGTGAGCCACCGCGCCCAGCTCAGGGACGGGTCTTTTGAACTGCCTGGTGTGACCCATCCTCCGTGCTTGAAATCGATTTAGTGCACCCTGGCTAGCATATTTTCCCCTGCCAAGATTATTGCAAAAAGACGATGTGGTGGTTAATGTTAGAAAGAACGTGTGGTTAATATCAGGAAGAACACGTGAAACGGAGAATTCAGGGCTAACATTACTTGTTTTGTTTCTAAAAACACCCACATGTCCTAAAAAGTGTCGCCTGTGCCCATTATCTCTCAGGCTTGACAGCAGGACACCGCTGGCTCACTTGTAAAGCCAAGGGAAAGAATTTGGACCACCAAGTACGTCTGGAGAAGACACCAATGTCAGCAGAGCTCCGATTTCATCTATGGGCGGAGGATTACCTAGGTGCCAAGGCAAGAGACTGAAGATGCAAACTGTTTCAGTATAATAAAGAAAATAGTTAAAAGGAAAATAGTCATAATACAAATTGGATATAAAAATGATCATGGATAATTATCAATCATTAGTATAAACATTAGTCATTGGCTTTTAATATTACTCTTTGTTGCATTACTAATATAACCTAGGAACAATGTGAGAAGTGACCTAGAGGACAAGAAGTGAGCACTCTGTCTCTGTCACGCCCGCATAAGGGCCGCCTGAGGGCTCCTTGGTCAAGCGGTAACGCCAGTGTCTGGGAAGAAGACACCCGTTACTTAACAGACCGCGAAAGGGAGTCCCCTCTCCTTGGAGGAGTCAGGGAACACTCTGCTCCACCAGCTTCTTGTGGGGGGCTGGATATTATCCAGGCTCGCCCGCAGTCATCCGGAGGCCTAAACCCCTCCTTGTGGTGTTGTGCTTTAATGGTCACATTTCTTGTCCACTTTCATGTTCCTCCCATACTCCTGGTTCCTCTTTAAAGTTCGTAGCAGATAGTAGTGGAAGAAATAGTGAAAGTCTTAAAGTCTTTGATCTTTCTTATAAGTACATAGAAGAAAATGCTGACGTATGCTGTCTTCTCTCTGTTTCAGCTACTTAAAAGGGAAGGACCCCCCCGTCCTATGATCACATGACTTGCTTGACATTATCAATCACTTGAAAGAGTCACCCTCCTTACCCTGCCCCCCTTGTTTTGTATGCAATAAATATCAGTGCGCGCAGCCATTCGGAGCCACTATTGGTCTCCGCGTCTTGATGGTAGTGGTCCCCCGGGCCCAGCTGTTTTCTCTTTATCTCTTTGTCTTGTGTCTTTATTTCTCACAATCTCTTGTCTCTGCACACGGGGAGAAAACCAGTAAGCCCCATAGGGCTGGACCCTACCTTCATCTGAAAGGGACCTGAACCCCAGGTCGCCTCAGACAGCCAGCATCTGCCCAGGGGCACCTTTTAGAAGTTGAATAGGATAGGAAGGGATTGGTGTCATGAAAGTACATGGTGGTCCAGCAAAGATCAGCATTGCTTCCCGAGGCTTTGGGATTGTAGCAGGACCAGCCGCAGACAAAACTCCTCAGACACCGGATTAAAGAAGGAAGAGGTTTTTTATTCGTCCGGGAGTGTCGGCAGACTCGCGTCTTAAGAGCCGAGCTCTCCAAAAAAGAAATGTTTGGCCTTTTTAAAGGCTTACAACTTTAAGGGGTCCACGTGAAAGGGTCGTGATAAATCCAGCAAGCGTGGGATTTAATGATGCTACATGCATCAGCTAACAGAACAAAAAGTTTTACTATGTTTTTTTCATACAGTGTCTGGAATTTACAGATAACACAAGTAGTTTAGGTCAGGGGTTGATGTTATTATTACTACTTTTTTTTTAAACTCCTGGGGCCGAGTGGTGGTGCCAAGGTTGTCTGGCTATTTATCTTATTTTTGTTTCTTTCTCTCTTTCCTCCTGTCTTGTGAACTAGGCAAGGTGGCGGGGGCGCGGGAGGAGGGCAGCAGGAGTAGTAGTGGTCTCCGTCCTTATCCCCCTCTTTGAGAATTTTCACAATTAGTGGGAGTTCTCACTTTTATTATTTGAAGGAGCAAGTGTAATACACAGGGCAGCAGCAAGCAAGTTTCTATTACTGGTAATACAGTGAAGGTTTTAAATTTTCTTATAGCTGGAAACTATTTTCTAAATAAAGACCTAGGATCAAACCTATGTTAAACCTGTACAGGCTTGTGTATCAACTTTGTCATGTCCTAAGCAGGTTAGTTTTTTACTGAGTCTTAAAAGCTTTTTCTGGCCGGGCGCGGTGGCTCAAGCCTGTAATCCCAGCACTTTGGGAGGCCGAGACGGGCGGATCACGAGGTCAGCAGATCGAGACCATCCTGGCTAACACGGTGAAACCCCGTCTCTACTAAAAAATACAAAATAAACTAGCCGGGCGTGGTGGCGGGCGCCTGTAGTCCCAGCTACTCGGGAGGCTGAGACAGGAGAATGGCCTAAACCCGGGAGGCGGAGCTTGCAGTGAGCTGAGATGCGGTCGCTGCACTCCAGCCTGGGCGGCAGAGCAAGACTCAGTCTCAAAAAAAAAAAAAAAAAAAAAGCTTTTTCTTTGCGAGTAACACAGTATTTTTTAATAACAGAAGTTTTTTTTTTTTTTTTTTTTTTTTTTTTTTTTTTTTTTTTTGAGATGGAGTCTCTCACTCTGTCGCCCAGGCTAGAGTGCAGAGACGCAATCTCGGCTCACTGCAAGCTCCACCTCCCGGGTTCACGCCATTCTCCCGCCTCAGCCTCCCGAGTAGCTGGGACCACAGGCACCCGCCACCACACCCGGTTAATTTTTTTGTATTTTTAGTAGAGACGGGGTTTCACCGTGTTAGCCAGGATGGTCTCGATCTCCTGACCTCGTGATCCGCCCACCTCGGCCTCCCAAAGTGCTGGGATTACAGGCGTGAGCCACCACGCCCGGCCCTGTTTTTTTTTTTTTTTTTTTTTTTTGAGACAGAGTCTCCCTCTGTCACCCAGGCTGGAGTGCAGTGGCCAGATCTCAGCTCACTGCAAGCTCCGCCTCCCGGGTTCACGCCATTCTCCGGCCTCAGCCTCCCGAGTAGCTGGGACTACAGGCGCCCGCCACCTCGCCCGGCTAGTTTTTTGTATTTTTTAGTAGAGACGGGGTTTCACCGTGTTAGCCAGGATGGTCTTGATCTCCTGACCTCGTGATCCGCCCGTCTCGGCCTCCCAAAGTGCTGGGATTACAGGCTTGAGCCACCGCACCCGGCCAAGTTTCTTAGAGGAGGGGTTCTTCTCCCTCCATGCCCCCTTTGTAACTCTATTTAGTGGCTCAGCCTTCAGTGAGAAACTGGAATGCATGGCAGAATCTTGCCGCTTTTAACTTCTAATGTGACCATGGGCTCCTGGGAGCCTAATGAGAAGGTGCCGGGTCTGCCCTAGTCTTTACATTCTTCAGCTCCTGTCAGTCTGATCAAATTGGTATTTGGTTCCTCCAAAGTGCGGCAGCCCGTGGCCGATGGCCTCTTTGTCTTGCAGCCTTGGCCATTTCCTTTATTGCCTTTTGAACATTTACCTTTCTAGTGTCCTTTCTTTTTGCATCTTGCCCATTAATCTCTCTCTAGCCTTGTCCGGCTCTTGAATCCTTGCCTAACTTGACTTCTTTCATATCTACATCCACGTCCACGTCCTCTCACATTGCTAATTATTCTTTTTTACACTTACTCTTAGTCTTTCCTTTTCTTTTGCTCTTTCCTAGTTTTGTTCCTTGGTCACAGTTAACATACACCTTGGTGGCCACTTTTCTAGGCTAGGTGGTATTTGTGCCTGCAGCGTCTGCTTGATGTTACCCTGGGCTTGCTTTACAAATGAAGTATTTACTATATACTGATTTTCAGCAGCCTCAGGGTTAAATGGGGTGTAAAGCCAGAATGCTTTATAGAGTCTCTTATAAAACTGACTCAGGCTCTTGTCAGCTCCTTGAAGCATTCCTGAAATCTTTTTTTATATTACTTGCTTTTTTCTACCAACTCTTAGCCTCTGCAGAAGTGCTTCTCAGTACCTCTGCAAACGCTGAAGCTGAATTGCATTCTCTGGGTCTTTTTTCCCTTTTTCCTAGAGTTTAACAGGCTCTTTTCTTTATGTAATTTTTCATTCACCTGGAGGGTTAAACAGGCATTATAATGAAAGTCAGTGTAGATGTTTACAGTCCTACCTTCACTGAGTTCTAAGGCCCGAATTAAAGCAATGAGCTCAGCTTAACGACAGTGTCCAGGGTCACCACCGCATGCTCTGCACATCTCTCTCCTTGTGGGTTGATGAAGCTGTTCCCGTCCACGAATAGCTCCTGATCTACTGATGCCCAAGGCTGGTCCCGGAGGCCAGGTCTGCTGGAGTAAACTGGAGTCCAACACCTCTACACAGTCGTGCTCGACAGGGCTCTAGCTGCCGGGAGCAAGGCGGCGGGTTCAGGGTGTTTCCAGTTTAGTAGATCAATGGTTGAAAAGTGCTGATAGATGAAAGTCTGTTGCCCCTCCGGATGTGGGCCTGGTCATTATAATAGACAGGTCCTCGTGTCTTCCTGAGAGGCATTTGCATAGCTCAAGCAAGACC